GTTTTTCTAACTATTGGCCAATGAAATCATTTCAAATCTGGTCCATTTATAAAGGAAAGGTCTAAGAAACATCCAATAAACATTTGGTAGGTGATGACATCAAAATTTTCAAAATAACAAGTCCCAATTCAAATTAAGGCATTCAACTAGCCAAAAAGAGGGTTTTCCATCACTGAGACAGTTTCGTAATTCGGCCACAACTCATTCAATTCGACTTGGAATTGGACATAGTTGGTGGCATTGGAAACTACATTCATAAGGCTACAATTTCTCAGAAGAAATCTTTTTGAAATTCTGTGACGACTGAAAAATTTCCTTATATTTTTCTTAAAATTCCCTTTTATTTGGAAATTATTACTTTATAATAGCCTTACTACCCAATCACTCTTCAAAAAACTGCAAATGAACATAGAATTAAGGGTTTTCCCTTTCGTTTTCAAGTTATCGCAAATTAGGATTTTTACGCCTTTTCATAGTGTGACTAATCGGTACGAAGTGTGGATCAAATTTGATGATTAAGAGTGAGTTTTAGATGATATTAAATGTATGATTTTGGGGGCTGATTGAGGAAAATAATGAAGTCATAAATGGCTGAAAATAGGTAAATATAAGGGGTGTGCTGTCCAAATTTGCACTCGAGGGATAGGTAGATATACTCATGACTTAAATAGGGATTTGAGGTCAAATTAGACTTGGATCGCCTATGGTATTCGAGTTTTCTTTAGTCAGGGTATATAAGCTAAAATTTTGCCGGAAACTCGTACCCTTGGAAAATTAAACTAATAATCAATAGAAATACGTTTTTCTCGTTCTTTCGACTCCAATGGGAGTTCTAAAGTTTTAACCGCTTCCTTACCAAAACTAAACGAGCGAGCATAAATTTTTCAGGATTTGATAAGCATCTTGAATACTACTTAAATGAGTTGCATTTACTTGATTTTCTTGAAGCGAAACTCCTATGTTTCGAACTCTAGAGAGTTTTACATTCGTCAATGATATTTTATAGCAGATTTGGACTCCAACCAAGGAGTTGGATCTGAACGTGATTTTTGAAAAGTACTACATTTTGGTGAGTGCTTCCAAATACCTGGTTGAACTGAACACTTGTTTTCAATACTTGATCAATGTAAATAAATGATATGTGATTTGTTTGATCGGGCAAGAGTGTACTTTATCGCACTTGTCCTAAAATGGTATATACTTGTTTATTGTTGCAATTAATTTAATATACTTGTACTTGAGTTGTAAGTGCGGAGCGGCAGTATGTACCACATTCAATCCGAGTGGGAGGTGCCTCTCATTCCCGTCTCCGTACTTTTATATTGATTCAGTCGATTGGAGATGTTATCTCATCAACATCTCGGGGACCCAAACCCCACTGGCTAATTAATCGAGTCGAGCCGGCAAGGGCTTGGTCGATTAGATAACGAACCATGGGTAGTTAGTGATGTCGAGTGGAGTGTTATCTTCTCGACTAATCGGTATATTCGAGTATTACCACCAATGTTTATTGTGGAGTTCTGGTCCGGTAAGGGGTTTGGATGGTGGACGGAGAGTAGTTTAAATGGTGCTCTACTGGATTGGTTACTTACTTGAAAGTTGACAAAGTGTTAACTATTAAGCTCTAGTGATGCAATGGGAATTTGACTCCTGAGAGTCATCCGTATCCTTATACTTTGGAATGATTAGTACTTATCGTGTTATTGTTTCGTTTTAAAAGAAAAACTTTACACTCGCCCACTTTGAGATTTGCTATTTGAGGTATTATTGCTCACTTTTATGAACTTTTCATGCTCATTACTTTGCTACGTGATACTTGCACTTTTAAATAATGGTCAACTTGCTATTTGGAATCTCACTGGGCTTTTAGCTCATTCCACGCCCTTTATTTTCCTTACAGGGGGTACGAGCGAGGCGTCAGACTGGTACAAAGTAGTCTAGTTTTGAAGTTTTGAAATGGTACTCACGCTAGCACTCGACTAGGGTTGATTGTACTTGAATTGTAAACACTTTGAAGTATTTTGGTGTGTAGAAACTTTGTATTTGGATTTGAGCATCAATGTATATATTAAGTTGAAGTGGATGTGTTATTTATTTTCTGTGGATGTACGTTATTTTTTTTGAGTTATGAGTGAGTGAGTCCTGACGAGAGTTGGGCAGGCGACCTGCCGAATCCTGGGGTACGCCCTAGGGGGATGTGGGGTCGTCACAAATTCTGTCCATAGCTAGCTAAAATTCAAGCAACAAGTTCCAGCACCTCACTGTCTCTCTAGCACAGTCTTGAAACAGGACAGGTAATTTTGAAGAGTTTGTACGGTTCATTCAGGTCGAATCAGGGGATACATTTTATACCATTAGAAAACTGGAAGTGTCTAGTTTCTAATGCCGCAAATGGCACTCGATTCGACATCGGAGCAAAGAGTTATGGTCATTTAAAATTCGCTGCCAGAGCATCTCTGTACACGTTTTCCAGCTTTGAAATCATTTCGAAATTCAACTTTTAGCCAACCAAATCAAGTGATTTTTTGTAAAAACTTTCCACACAACCTATACAACATATCTACATCAAAATCAAGGCAATTTAACCACAAAAAAATCGCACCAAAGGGTTCGGTAAAAACAGGGCAGATTCGGCCTTTCAACATGCATCACTTCTTTTGATTTTCTTTTCACTCTTTCAACTTAAATCCACTAGATTAATACTTAATCAACACAAATAACATCCAAACCCATCAAATCAGATCATCAAGTCCATTGTGAAATTTCATAGAGCCCACTCACATGATTTTCAACAATCCAAAGCTACTCACATGAAGCTACAAGCTTCTAAGTGTAATCTAACTTACAAAAGTTAAGATTCAAGGGTTAGATTATTTGCTACCTTCTTAGATGTTGAAGACCAGAATTTTGGCCACTAAGAAGCTCCAAGAAACCATGGAAATGGTGCTCCTTTCCTAGTCCAAGTGAATCTCCAAGTGATTTGCAAGTTGGATGCAAAATTTGAGGTGATTTGGAGTAAGATTTGAGGTAGAAATGAAGAGTTTTCTTTCCTTTCTTTTTTTCTTGTTTTTGGCCGGCACTTGAGATGAGAGAAAAGAGAGTTCCAGCCGGCACTTGAGATGAGAAGAGAAGGGTTTTGATCTGGTGTGATGCTTCCTTGAGAAGCTTATGAATTTGTGGCCCAAAATTACTCCAAAAGTCAACAAAGAATAGTGCGCGCACGCGCGTGATTCGTGCTCGTTTCCTCTCGAGTTTGTTTCACTTGTGCACTAAACCTCTAATGCACTTCCATTGATACTATTATTATTTACTCTTAATAGTTTAAAAAAAAGGTCTAAAGTCCCTCAATTAATCGCGCGCGGGAAAACGCGTACTTCCGATTTGTGCGCGATAGAGCAAAATTTCTAAGGAATTCTTGTAATGATGATATAACTAACTAATACGAGGATAAATAATCATGAAAATAATTATTTTAGAAATAAAAACATGCGTTCTCACATGAGTCTAGTATTAATTTCTCAAATCTCCAATTAATTTGTACCAGCATGTCTTTCGGAAAACTTTCGACGCGCGCACGGTATAAGTTTAATTTTAACTTACTCACATCTAATCTCTCAATTAAATTTTCTTAATCTACTATTGATCATTCTTAATTCTCCAAGACTAATGTACTCTCGGATCGAACATAGCCTCGAAAAACGTGTATTCCTTATTTCTCGCTAAACGAGCCCTAAAAAATTAATTTTACTAACGAGACGTGTTAAAAATATAATTGAGACATTATTCCATGTAAATAAGTTTAAAATGATTGAAATAAATTATTCAGAGAAAACGAGTGAGTAAATAATTAATTAAGCCAGTAAACTAAAATATAAATAAGATAAATTCGGGTCCTCACATAGATACCAATGAAAATGACGAAAAAGCTGCTGTGAATGTTTCTGAGGAGGTGCAAATTACTGATATGGTTGATGAAGGAGGGAAGCAAACAGATGCAATGGAGGAGGCTGCTGGTTCTGCTATGATAGCCGAGGAAGGTGATAAATTAGTTCATAAAGACGACAAGCCCAGTTCCTTTTTGGCTAAAGGAAACGCTGCTGCTATGTGAGAAGAAACCGACAACATGATAGCTGATGTCCAAGCACATTCGGAAATGGAGGGAACATTGGGTGCGAATCATGGGGAACATGTGATAATGGGCAACCAGCTGGAGAAGCAACAAGATAATGAGAATAAAGGGACCCATTTTCTAGTAGAAAACCATTCGATACTTGAACATCATCACATGGCCGAAAGTAATGCCTTGGAGAATATCTATGTTGACTTACGTGGGGTTGAGGATGACGTTGCTTCCATACACCATGGAGTTGCAGGAAATTTGTCTCCAAGATTGGTTGTCCTACCACAGAAGCTGCTGGAATTTTCAAGGCCCTCGTTAAATATTGATCAATCACAAATGGCTGACCGTGAATTCAGACAAATGCGAGGAAAGGGTGTTCGTGCTCGATTTCCATTCGACAGACAGTTAAGGTCAGAGACATCATCCAAAAACTCATTCCATGTTCTTTCTCATGATTAATGGAATATTTTGGAATATTAGAGGAGTAGCAAAGGCACCTAATCTAAGAAGATTGATTAAACTAGTTCGGATTCATCAAGTTTATTTTGTTGTGATTTGTGAACCAAAACTAGACGTGTCAAAAATTGAGTCCATTCGTTTACGATTATTATTTGATTTTGTGTTTGTTAATTGTTCGAGTGATATTTGGGTATTATATAGTAGTCCTTTTGTATGTTCCATTGTTGGTAGTTCGGATCAGCATATATCTCTAGATGTTCAAAGCCCGTTGCTTCCTATCCAATCATTATGTCCTTTGTTCATGCAAAGTGCTCGGTGGAGGAGCGTCGAGAATTATGGTGTTCCTTGTTAGATGATAAGCCTAGATTACATCCTTGGTGTATTGGCAGGACTTCAACGTTATTTTGGCACCTCACAAAAAATGGGGGGTCGTCCATTTGCTATAGCTGAAGGAGCGGATTTTATGTCTTTCATGGAGGAAGCTGGGATTTTTGATATAGGATTCTCAGGATCTAGTTTCATGTGGTCTAATAATCGACGGAGAAGAGCTCGAATTTCAAAAAGATTGGATAGATTTTTAGTCAATGGGGCTTGTTTAGATATCTCCGATGCCATTTCTGTGCTCCACTTGACAAGACACCCCTTGGATCATGCTCCGTTGAAGATTTCGTTTGTAACTAGGTTGGATAATAAGCCGCATCCTTTCCGCTTCTTGAATGTTTGAACGTCCAAACCTGAACTCTTAGAGGTGATTCGCCAGGCTTGGAATCAAGATGTTGATGGATTTTCGTTGCGAGTTTTATGCTCTAAATTATTGGCAACGAGAAGGGCTATTCAATCATGGAACAAGCAACACTTTGGGAATGTCATAGACTCTGTGCGTTCTGCGGAAATGGCGGTACAACGGGCAGAGGAGATGGTTGATCAAGATGACTCCGAGGAATGCCAGATTGAGCTAAACAAGGCTCAAGCGGAGCTCCATCATGCATTGTTAATTGAAGAGCAGTTATGGAGGCAAAAGGCTAGAGTCAAATGGCTTCAAGAAGGAGACAGAAATTCAAGGTATTTTCACGCGGTAGTAAGGCAGAGACGTGTTCAAGGAATGATACACCGCATCAAAAATTCCAATGGAATTTGGGTGGACACGGATGATGATATAGCAAGTGAAGCAACAACATATTTTCATGATCTTTTCACAGGCCCTTTGGATTCATATTCCAATATGTCGTACCTAATCCTGCATATGGTTTCTTGAGAGGAAAATGGGAAGCTGGAGTCAGTGCCTACGATCGAGGAGGTATATCGAGTAATAAAAACAATGGATGGGGATAGTGTTGCTGGCCCGGATGGTTTCACAGGAAAATTTTTTACATTTGCATGGGACGTGATCGCCCAAGATGTATACAATGCAATACTCAGTTTTTCTGTGGGGCGGAGTTATCTCGGTTTGTCACTTCTACCTCGATTGTATTAATTCCAAAGATGCCAAATCCTTAGGAATTTTCTCATTTTAGACCAATCAGTCTATGTAACTTTTTCAACAAGTTGTTATCTCGGATCTTGGCGGATAGACTAGCTAGTATATTGCCAAAAATAATTTTCCCCCAGCAAACAGGCTTTGTGAAGGGTCGTAATATAACGAAAAATTTTCTACTTGCTCAGGAGGTGGTATTGAGTATGGAAAAAAAGATTAGAGGAGGTAATTTGGTTATGAAATTAGACATGTCTAAGGCATATGACCGGGTGGCTTGGGGTCACATCATCAATGTTCTGAGAAGATTTGGTTTTGGGGAAATATTTATTGATATGGTATGGCGTTTGTTTTCTAATGTCTGGTTTTCGATCATTATAAATGGGTCTTCGCATGGTTTTTTTAAGTCCTCGAGAGGGCTTCGTCAGGGTGATCCATTATTACCTGCGCTTTTCATTATCGGAGCTAAAGTGTTGTCTAGAGGATTGAATAATCTTGTAGTGCAGTCAGACTTCATGGGTTTCAAAGTTCCATATGGATGTCCAGCTATAACTCACTTGGCGTTTGTGGATGATGTTCTCATATTTGCAAACGGATCCTCCTTTTCTCTGAAGGCGATCATGCAGGTGTTAGAGGCGTATCAAAGGTATTCGGGGCAGCTGATAAATGTGCAAAAAAGTTGTTACTTGGTCCATCCAACGGTGTCTCCGGCGAGAAGAAGGGTGATTGATCGTATCACTAAGTTTGCTTGGAAGTCTTTTCTGATACGTTATTTAGGGTTCCCGCTCTATTTTGGAAGATGTAAATCATCATACTTTGGAAGAGTTTGTCAGTCTATTTTAGGGAGGATTCAGTCATGGAAATCAAGGTTGCTTTCCTTTAGGGGCAAGATAGTTCTAATCAAGCATGTGTTGGCATCAATGCCAGTGCATCTGATCTCAGTTGCTGTGATCCCGGGTTCGATGTTTAGAACTATAGAAAAAGCCTGTTCGACATTCTTGTGGGGGTCATTACCCAACGAATCAAAATTTCATTGGATAAGGTGGTCTCAACTGTGCTATCCGGTTGATGAGGGGGGAGTTGGTTTCCGGAGACTACGAGATGTATACACAGCCTTTTCTTCCAAGCTTTGGTGGAATTTTCGAACAGGATCGTCGTTGTGGGTGTCATTCATGAAAGCAAAGTACTGCAGACAGCTTCATCCTTATCAGGTAGAACTCAGAACCACGGACTCGGCAATATGGCGGAGAATGGTAAATATGAGCCGACAAGTGGAGCTTTCAATGTTATGGGTTACCAAAGAAGGGGCGTGTCACTTTTGGTATGATAACTGGCTAGGATGTGGTGCTTTGTTCTTACAAATGCCGGTTAACCCAGATTTGTCGTTCCGTAATTTCATCATCAATGGTCATTGGGATGTTAATTTCTTATGTCACACAATACCAAGGGAGAATGTATCCTCTGTTTGAGAGCAACCCATCCCAGAAGAAGGGAGTGAAGTGGAAGTCATTTGGATTCCCACAACATCTGGAAAATTCCCTACAATCAGCTTTTGGAGATATTAGACAGGCCCGAAACAAGTCGATGGTGTTTACATCAATTTGGCATCCTTGTATTCCTTTGAAAGTTTCATTTTTCATGTTCAGATTGTTGCGAGGGAGGATACCAGTACCAGATACATTATGTAAACTTGGTTTTCATATACCCTCCAAGTGTTTTTGCTGTCCTTCGGCATCTGAGGAGTCTACCAGTACCAGATACGTTATGTAAACTTGGTTTTCATATACCCTCCAAGTCTTTTTGCTGTCCTTCGGCATTTGAGGAGTCTATTCTCCAATGGCCACACGGCGTCTGTAGTTTGGAGTTATTTTGGAGGTTTATGTGGATTGAGTCCAAGATCTTCTTTGCGGTCTCGAATAGTAGGGTGGTGGTTGCGGTCATATGATTCTGAGCTATGACGGCTTATGGGCCGAATTCTTCCTACTGTAATTTGTTGGCAGATTTGGAAGGCAAGGAATAAATCAATGTTTGAGGGTGTTCAAATAAGACCATCTGCAATTTGCCATGCAATTTTCATGGACATTCAGTCCATGGTGGGGATTCATTTCAAACAAGGGTTTCGACTACAGTTATTCTGGCAATTGTATGACTCGCCGAATTTGAATGTTGGTAGGGTCGCATTCAAAGCTATTCGTTGGGAGACAAAAGAGCCAGGGTGGTTCATACTTAATACGGATGGCTGTGCTAAGGGTAATCCAAGAGTGGGTGGAGGTGGTGGAGTTCTACGGGATTCGACGGGATTACCACTCTTTGCTTTTTCGGCCTATCTTGGAGAAACTACAAGTCTCCATGCAGAGGTTCGTGCCCTCCTCATTGGTCTTCAAACATGTATACAAAGGGGTTTTGTGAATATATGTATGCAATCATATACATTGGTCTTAGTTCGAATTATTCATCGCCAAATTCAGTGTCCATGGCAGATTCGAAGGGAGGTCAGGCAGATTTGGAATTTCGTGGAGGATTCGGCTTGTCTTTCACACTATTATCGGGAGGCTAACACAGTTGTTGATGCATTCTCCAATGTGGGTGCATCTCATCCACAGCAACAACTCAAGATATACGATAGCTTTTGTACATTCCCAAGATTGGCTCGTGGGGGAATACGCCTAGACAGATTAGGGATGTCTTCAATTAGGAAAATTAACCGTATGTAAAAGGAAAATCTTTGTGTGTTGTTGTTTTATTCCATAAATAAAAGGATGATTTTATAAAAAAAATGGTAGGAAATATACATTGTTTCATTACCTAAGTTTAATCCTCTGTTGCCTCTCGATTTGCGACCTCGGCTTGAATTTTCACTCTTATCCATTTTCTCTGTAGTGTGAGAGAAAACTTTCTAAATCTTTGTTCTTCATCTATTATGACACAAACATTATGTGACAGCTTGAAAATTTATCCACATATTACATTTATCCAAAAGATCAAATGCATTTCATTTATCTTATTATTGAATGATCTATGTGTTTAATTGTTTCTTTATAGTTTAAATGCATAAGAATGATTTAAATTATTGCATGATTATCTCTATAGGAATTGTACTAATTAGAACAAATTAATGGGGTAATAGTGTGACCACTAAAATTAGTTTGGCCCTAGTTGAATAAAGTTTTGAAACAACACATGCAATTGACAAATGTCCAACTTCTTGGCAGGTGTCAAAAATTTTGCCAAATGACCAAATAACCAAGGGAATGTGTCTAAACTACCATACACCAACCTGCCCCATTTCTTGTCTTGTAACCGAAAGGAGAAAAGAGACTGAGTCATTTCGTTCTTCACATCAAGACACAATAGAGAAAGCCAAGGGAGAAGATTGAGCTGCCTGCATTTTGAAACCGAGAGGAGAGAGAGTTTAGCCTCATTTTTCTTCTTCACTCCAAGACCAAAGACAAAGAGAGAGCGAGAGAGAGTCGAGGGAGAAGAGTGAATTGCCCGCATTTTCCAGCTTTGATTTATGAGGAAAAGGGAAGTAAAAATTGCTATAAACCACTCATTTTTTCTATTACTATTTAGCACTCTAGTTGTATGTTAATTTTAAGCCAAAATGTAGGAGGTTTATGAAAGAAAAATTCACTTTTCTAAGCTATATGTTGCTGGAATTTCAATTTAGATGCATGTGATGAATAGTTTTGATTTTCAACTTTGTATTCGAAACTTTGATGGATTTCTTTGCTAAGAACTCATGTCATATGCTTCTTCTTATGTTAAAAATGATATATGGTGTATTTGCCATGGATATGAGTGAGAAAATTAGTAGTTTGGTTGAAAAATTTTGAAAGAATCTGGTTGGAAATCTGTTGAGCTAACCGAACAAGTCACCAAAGTTTTACTTCCAAATCTGGAAAATTGCCTAACAATCTCGATTTTGACCAACTTTGAGCTGCTATATCTTGGTGCTCAAAACTCCGATTCTTGTTCCGCTTGTTTTGTTTTAAACTTTGATTACAACTCTAATTGAGTTTCAAACCTGAGAGACTAGTTCAAATTCTGTGAATTTTGCCGAATTTCCAAAGTTGACGAAAAACCAACCTCAAAACTGTCTCGCAAGCCTAAAACAATAACTTTGAGCTAATTTTTGAATGCCTTCCGTTAGGAATCATGGGAAAGTGTATTCTAGAAACTTTTAGTACTTTAGAAGTAGTTTTCAACAGTACCAAGTTTTCTAATTTTGGACTTGTAGAGAGTGGGATATTGATTTTTCAAAGGACGTGTAATAAATCTGAAAATTCCTAACTTAAAGGGAATTGAGTTTTTGGAACTCATCTTTTTCCTTCGATATTACTCGATCATTTTACACTTGATTTCAAAGATAAAAATCAGATTTCGCTTGTGTTTTAAAACCCCACTTTTAAGGCTCGTACTTGTGAGATTTTCTTAGATTGTACAAGTGTACAATCTTTCTTGATAATTAGGGGTTTTAAGCGATAGTGCGTAATAGTTTAATTATTAATTACTCAGGCACTCAAGAGAACCTTCGAGAGGATCCTACGGTGGACGGCTGAACCCTCAAGTAGGCATTTCTTTTTTGTTTACTTGGTGAGTGTCAAGTGCATGAATTTGTTGCTAAGTGGTTAACTGTTTCTCATCCGTTATGTGAATTGGAAATTTTGAGATGAGTGTGTACGTTACCGCACTCGTTCTCTTTCGAACGAAATTATATTCGTATTGTGCTATGTGAATTCATATTCGACTTGTACATAATATTATGGATGTGATTCGTATTTGTGATTCGTATTGGTGATTCGTATTTGTGATTCGTACGTGTGATTCGTATTTGTGATTCCTATTTGAAATCGTCGAT